GATTGCCTAATCCCAACCCCACCCCTAATCCTAACCCCTCCCCCAAACCTACTCCTAAACCTACCAATACTAGGGGATGCATAATCTGGCAGGGTGCAAATTTCGGCACTAGGTTTGGCAGCCTACTGTGAATGGTGGGATGCGTGCGTTTATACAGTCACGTCTACCATCCTAATTGACCTTGTTCACTTCAACCACTATCTCTAGCGACACAACATCCTCTCTTTGTGTAATAATCTCCTTTTGTATAAAATACATCCCCGGTGCCAGCCTACTTTGAAATGTTTTTGAAAACTTAAGTTAAGTTTGTCTTTCAACAGGTGTGTTTAACTTTTTGAAGGAGCAAAGATTAAATTTGCACGTTTGACTCTTTTCAGCGAATCGGTTCTTTTGAATGATCCATTTTAAAGATTCACCGGTACGGCATTCAACATTTCAATAAAGCCAGTTTAGACTTTATTGCTGTTTATTAAAGTGTTTTATTAATAAGAGTCTTTATTTTTTATTTCATGTGCTCTTGTTCAGTTCATCAAAACATAAATAGGCCTACATAATTTAAATTTATAATAAAGAATCTGCTTGAAAAAAAGCTTTTGCCCATTGTATGATACTTATATACATTGTTATACAAACTCAGTTTGTCCAGTACGGTGTATTTGTAACATTTCTGAAAAGTAACATAACTGTTCAGGAAAGTAATATTTTCGGACTGTTTTCGGTTTAAGTCAGTGATTTGATGATTCGAGAACCGCTCGGCCTGATTCGTGATTCAATTGTTCAGAACGGGTTTGGAAACTGGTTCAGCGGAATCATTAAAGAGATTCGACTCAAAAGAATGGCTCCTTTAGTAGTACAGCGCAGCTGTTCATTCATCCTTCAGAGCTTATTTATACTACTTCACAACAAAAGTCTACACATAGCCTACCTAGGCTACTATATTAAACTATTAACATTCAAATCAAAAGTTAAATAGACTGACCAACAAATTGTAGGTATTTTAAAAGCGGATTCTTACCTGTTTCTCACCGGTAGAGCCAGCAGTTGTGAGAAGAGCAGGCTGATGCAACATACAAAAACCGGGAAAAGCGCTCTCATCTTGGGCGAATAACGTTCTCACGCCCCCTTGGTCAGGAGGGGGCTTCCAATGCACCTGAACAATATTGAATTTCCAGCAACTGAAACTTTCAAGTTAGAACAAAAGTCCAACTTCAAGGTACTGTGGCGTTTCAACTGTTCCTGAAATGAAGGGGAGGAAAATATTAATTGATGCCTACTAGATTTTTTTTTTCCACGAGCAAATTTATAACACATTAGGCTATACTGCTAGCATTTGCTATGCATAAAATATTTGTTGTAATGCCAACATTTAACGGCATTTAATAGTTAAATTATTTAATATTAGCCTACATACAAAACTAGAGGGTTAAAGTCATGCTCTAATTAGTTGCCAACTAATTACAGCCTACTCCTTTTTCTTAGTTCCATTTTAAAGCACGTTCTGAGTATATTTTATATAAGTACATCATATATATAAACGTTACTGACCTTTATCTCAGGTGAAGATCTAGTGCCACGCGCTAAACTGTCTCGAGAATTTTCCCACGGGTGCGCTCGCCAAGATCAAGCTCTTGTGAAGTCTGAGGTTCAGCGGACATCGACGAGTTTAAATACGGACTGGGCGGGACTACATTGCGTTTTTTCAAAGGTGTGTCGAATCCCTTATTCACCCTGGGTCATGCTGCTTCTGAGTCACTGCGATATATGGGCAAAATCGATTGGTGTCAAATACAGTTCTTCTTTCTTTGTATGCATACATTTGCTTGATATTGAATTTTTAGGGCTGCTTGTAAAATGTAAGCTTTTAAATGATAGTTTAAATGAAGAGTTTGGTTCCAAAACGCTATAAATCCATTTTGATTAATTTGAGTAAAAATGTGTTTTCTTTACCAAGGAAGTGGCAAGATGAAAACCACTATTTTCTGTTTCAAACATTCACATAGCATCTTTAGGTTATAATAACATTAAAAATTCAAATCCAGATTTTGATTTTCAAAGATTTATTATAAAATTTTATGATTTTTTCCCCAAAATGCAATAAATCCATGACATGTTTCCCCCCCCCCAAAATGCAATAAATCCATTGAATCAATATAAAAGTTATTTTTCATAATGAAATCCATCTGAAAGCACGTGATGGAGATTTACTGTTCACAGAACCGGCACACATTGAACTTACACACTGATCAAAAACCAAAGGCAACCCTTTAAATAGTATCAATAACATCATTTACAAGCATTTTTCAACTCATTTTACCAACACACCAACATTCTCATGAATGATATCTACAAAGTCATTTTATATTATACAATAAGTGTGTACTAAAGAAGCATGCACTTGTGTGGAGTTTGAATGGGCTGTAGTGTTCGTTATCTTCTTATTTAATTTGCATTATTTTCACTGAAAACCCAAGAATATTTAATTATGAATAATGAAACTGTTAAATCGCCATGTCATGAACTATATTATTTAATATTTATTTACTTTTTTTGGGGATCTCATGCACGATCACGGTGCAATTTTAATGCCAGTTAAGCTTGTGACAAACAATCTTTGAACTTTGAACAGCTATTTGTGGTATTCTCCCTTTTTCCTTGAAAAATCAAAGAACTGTCACGAGCTCTTGTAAGTTCAGTTTTAGCCTCTAAATGATTTTTTAGCCCATGTTTAAGCAACAACAGTGCCATCAATAACAAATACACAAAAGATTTAATGGGATTTCCTAGATATGCTGATGTAAAATCTAAGATCGGATAGTTTTCACTATTCGCAATCTCTTTCTTTTCTCCTTAGAAATGTCTCACGGCTCCACAGTTGGCCATATGTCACTTATTCAGGTCAGTGTTGGACATTTGTTAAGAGATTGTTTTTCAGAGATTTAAACAAGTAAATGTTTAATGCTACTAACTGATTCTATGTATGTTATTGGAAAACATAGCCAGTAAAGTGAATATACAGCGCAATGAACCAAGGTGACTGATTAATGAAGTAATTCTTAGAGACCGGCAAGATGTATGTGTCTTTGGTTGGCAAGTGATTCCATTTACATAATCATGAAAAATCATGTGACAACAGAACTGTGAACTGGAGCCAAATCTCAGATGAGAGCAATTGGTTTCCCCCTCTGATCTCTCATTAACTGTATGTGCCAATTAGTTTACATGAGTTACTACACGCCACAGCCAGTGAATCCGGTACAAACCGAAACACAAGCCCTCTGTTAAGATATGGTGATTTTCTGAAAACATGATCATGTAAATGTTTTCAATTGAAATTAGATTAAAAAAAAAAAGCTTACCACATAAATACACGGTTTTAATAAATATGAGTATAGGAGGCCATATGATTATTAGAGGATAAACCAATTTAATTAGGAATAATAGAGAATGGCATGATGCAATGCCCAAAGAATGGCATATGTGTACAAAAGAAGAATAGAACACTCATTAAAGTCACGCATGAGCTTGGGCCTCCCAAAGACAAAATCAACACACTACAATATACTGTAAATAGGTGTAGAAATTATGTTACTCTTGTAAAGTACGCTAGGTCTAATAATGACCTAGATAGATAGATAGATAGCACTATATTAGTAACCTGTTGTCTCTTGTTTGCTGCCCCCTAGTGAACATTACTATAACTACACTGAATAAACCATCATCAATTTAATGAAAGATTTTTGGGGTTCAAAAGAGAAAGTTATAGTGGATTTGATCTCCCAGGGAAAAATTCTTATCACGTTTAAAGTGCACATAAACAGTATGTCTTAAACATTTCAAACACAAAAACAAACCTCTCCAATGATGGTCCTTGTGCTGGAATATCAGTGATGTCTTTCCCCCCCTTCCTCCCCAGCAGGATGAAATGGTAAATCCCTGTGTTAAATCAATTTGAAAACATGCTTGTTCCCACTGAGCTTGTTTCCCTTGCATGTTTACGATGGCCCATCGTCAAGTTTGAGAACACAACTGGTTTGTTATGCCTCACAGTCAAGTTTATTTGCACCGCTGTGATGGACAGTTGCGGTCATGTTTATTTTACGGCGCTTCTGTTTCTGTTCTGTTACTATTACCCATGAGCCAGTGCGCCTGTATGTCTGTACTCCTATATTTACACTTAACTATGGATCTGTGTGTGGGAATGGCAGTCTGTTTGAGCGGTTGTATTTGGGTGTGACTACAGGGGAACAATGGATGTATATTTCCAAAAATACCTTCTGTGAATGAAGACAAAGACATGAGACTGTGTGCTAGTGGATCAAATAGCTGGCAGTTATAAAAGATGAATGAATGCTGGTTCATCAACACAGACACCGACCGCCGCGGATGTTTCATCCTTTCATTCCATCATCCTCACATGACTCATTGTTATATTCCCATCTTGCCATTGGACAGGATTGATCTGGCTGATACTGGTTATATTCTTCATTATTTTTATTAGACTTTCAATTGTAATTTAGTTCATTAGCAGCATAATCCACATTTTATCAAAGTAGGCTTTATTATGAGAATGATTGTTTTGGGTAAAATAATGCCAATATTCAATACGGGGCAGTAACAGTCATAAAAATGTCAATATCAACATAAAATTAAATACTTTTTAAATTTATACTTAAAGTATAAAATAAGCATTCAACAAGATATTATTAGGGCTGTCAATTTAACTTAGATTTTTTTTTTCTTATGAAAATGGATAAAAAAGAAAAAGCAACTGAAGAATACACATAATAATAATAGTTTATAGTTTTATGCAAATTATTTAGACATTGTCTATTTCTTGATGCAAATTTGGTCAAATGTCACTTCCTTTCAGTCTCACATGGATTGTTCAGGATGTTTCCTGTAAACAACATGTTTCATGTTTTATGTTTGATGTCAAAACACAAATGCAAGAAACTCAAAAAGTTGAATTTACTATACACACAACATTTAAAATCTGTGTGAGAATAAAAAAATAGCAACTAAATAAATATTATAAATATAATTTATATTATTATTAATATTAATTTATGAATTATATTATTTATTAATTATAAATCCATGTATATTTATACAGCTCTCTGAAATACTCTCTTATAATAAAATAATGTCAACTCAAATACATTTTTAATGTCCATTCATTTTTACAGTGCAGTCAGCTGGTAATTAGCGCAAAAAAAAAAATCACCCTCTTGGGAATTGTTGCATATGTATATGTTTTATATGTATATTCATATTAATAAATATATGTATTTTTTAAAACATCATTAGAATGATATGCTTTGAAACACTAAGCACTGAAAAACACACTAATACTATAAAACCTTTTAGATGATAAATATTATAATAATAGTTTTCCTTTTTCTCGCATTAAAATTTAGCCTCCAAAACACTTTTTATTAGTGCTGTCAAACGATTAATCGCGATTAATCGCATCCAAAATAAAAGTTTTTGTTTACATAATATAAGTGTGTGTACTGTGTATATTTATTATCTATATATAAATATGCACACATGCATGTATATTTTTAAGAAAAATATGTTACATTTATATATTAAATATATTTATAGATTATATAATTTATATGAATATAAATACATGTAAATATTTTCAAAATATATGCTGTATGTGTGTGTATTTATATATACATAATAAATATTCACAGTACACACACATATATTATGTAAACAAAAACTTTTATTTTGGATGCGATTAATCGCGATTAATCATTTGACAGCACTACTTTTTGTCAATATTAGTAGGGATTTCTCACAGCTCAGATACTGTGAAATAAGGAATTAGGATGTAATGAGATGACCTATGATTTTCACTGAGCTAAGAGACCTCTTCCTGTCTATTGGTTGTTGACAGGATGTCACATGACATGCAAATCCGGCCGAACAGCTCTACTTCTCCCAATAGGCTACATGTCATGCAATGGAGGCCCAGACCAGTGTTACCAGGTCCGAACTGGGAGAACCCCACCAGTTTTGTTGTGAAATTCTGGCAGCCCTGGCCCAGACACCTTTACACACACAGACAGAGCACTACCTTGTGTCTACATATTTGCCCTTCCTGTCACATGGCTCCAACCAAAGCACAGCCCACGACACTTCCTGTCATCTTCTCACTTGTCACTTTTCAGTTTCATAAGAATATTACTCAGCTTCTGTAATGAGAAAAGACACCTTTTTGTATTCACATAGAAATCTTCTGCAATATTGAGTTAAATATGATTTCAAGCTATTCAGGTTTGATAAATAATAACCTCAAATATCCCATAATGCACCTTTCTTGCAGACACACAGGTGCAGTGGTCGCCCTTTTGGCTCGATGGTGCGATCGGCTCTTTTTGTGAACTGGATATGGAGGTGCCCAAGACTTCATGACTGTTAATGTTGCTTTTCTCAAGGCATTGTGGGAAACGTGATCTCTGTGTCCACTTAGAGACTCCACTCCTCTATCTTTCTTCCTTTCTCAGTCTTTCTACTTTTTCTTTTAGAATTTGCTCTTTTTGATTAAAATGTTGGGCTGTCACAAAATGGAGGGCTAAAGTGTCATGTGATCCACTTGAGCGAATGAAATTACATGACTCTTTTGACTGGTGATCTCTCTGGCCTCAACAGCCACTAGAAAACCACTAGAAAAATTACGATATTTAAAAAAAAAAACATATATAAATATAAAAATAACATTTTTAAATATACATTTTTGTTTCAAATAAATAATTACCGCCAACTGTCTGGGATGCTTGCCTTAGATATTCATTTACAGAATATTACAGTCAGTTGAACAGCTTTTGTTATTCCCTTGAACATTCAGCTAAATTGATTTGTCGATGACAGGCTGACAGTATAACATGGCTGTGATTGTTTTTAATTCTGGTGAGATAAGTACTCTGGGTCAAAGAACTTTACACAGGAAGTGTTGGAATTCTTTTGGAGGCGTGTCGATGCTTACAGGCAAGGACACAGGCCTCAGATTGTGGGATGGGGGGGTTATCCGGTAGGCCTTTTCAGCTTTTTCCTCTGTGATGAGATTCGTAACTGTAACATTTATGCAACAACTGTCCAAACATGGACTCTTTATAGCAAAATCCACGTGCTCATGGAATCAGTGCAATTTTGTTACATAAGCAATGACAGCTGAGCTAATCGCACATGTTTAGGGGGCTTGGGAGGAAAGGTATAGGACTGAAGGGTCTCTATACGGCTCCTTAAGAAGAAAACTGTGCAGGATTTCTTTTGGCAGTAATCGATTTAGATAAAGACTTCTGTAAGCAGTTCACATGACAGCTCTTGAGTGAAGTCCATAAATCATTACATATGATTTTATGCGGAAATAAAATAACAAAAAATAAATAATAAAGTAGTTTTTTCTATAGAAAAAATAGAAAGCTAGTGTTTTTGTTTTTTTTTGCTTATAGTCTTAAAAAAAGGTTTTTTTGGCAAACAAAAAAAGTGCTTTAGATCAACTCAAATACATCTGGAAAGCATTTGTGTAGTTTTTGCATGCCTCCCAATCATTTGCATGCAACAGAACAAGACAAATAATAATAACAAAAGCTTTTTTATGCAAATTATTTATGCATTGCCTCTTTATTTATGCAAATTTGTCAATGAATTTGGTCAAATGTCAGTTCAATCTCACATAGACTGTTTGGGATGAAATATCTGAAGCTTCCAACAACATGTTTCGTGTTTTATTCAAAAAGTTTAATTTATATATACAGAACATTGATAGTCTGAAAAAAATTGTCTGTGTGTGATCAAAATAAAGATCATAGCAGCAAAAATATTGGTCAAATTATATATGCATGTATATTTATGTGGCTCTCTGAAATACTCTCATCTCACATAAACTAATATGAAATCAACTCAACATTTCAAGTCAATTTATTTATACAATGCAGTCAGCTGGCCATTAGAGCAAAATAAAATTAAATAATAATAATACATTTGTTTTTTTTCTGCTTAGTCTTAGTCTTAAAAAAACTGAGGGTGTTTTTGGTCAAGAAAAAGACATGCTTTAGATTTGTGTATTTTTGCATGTCCATTTTGCATCTGCATGCATTTAAACTCAAACATCATCTTACTTATTAATCTCTCTATTTATTACAGCTGTCCATAATGAAACAGGTGTTGTTAATGTTACATTAATGCATCATGATAATATGTTTTGTTCACAGTCACACTATTACATTTTTATGGTGAAATTAATGTCCCTTTCACCATTATTTGTAAGGCGATTCATACTTACGACTTATAAAAAAAACATTTTTTTCTGTAAAAGTAGCCTATATATTGCCTTGTTAAATAATCACTGGAATGCGAATTTTAATGTAAAGTCCTTACTTGTCCTACTTGTACAGTATATGGTAAGGTTACAAATTAATACAATTTTAATGTAGCATTTAAAATTTTTTTTAATGTTTTTTTTTCTTCTTTTTTTATAGGCCTAGCCCTAGTGTATCTAGTACACGAGCTGAATGACCACGCAACATTCCCTGACTGCGCGCCCCTCCCTGCCGCCGCTGAGCTCAGTGCGCATGCGCAGAGCGCTGTCAGGGCACGGCACACTCAGCGACAGTATGGCGGCGGGCTGCTGCTGGAGGGATGCTGCTGTCGCCGCTGCCTTCACAATGTGATCGGAATATCGTCTGTTCCGCGGAAAGACTACAGTCACCCCCGAGGCCTGTCTCCGTGATCTCGATAAGATGACCAGGCTCGCCGATTACTTCGTGGTAGTTGGCTACGATCTCGATAAGAGAGGTAAGAGAGAGAGACACAGCAAGCGATTCTTCCTCCTCCTCCTCGTCTTCCCCTCCTCCTCCTGATCTGTTAGATTGAAGTGTATTAGTCGCGGTTTATTCACGGTAAACACAGCAGAAGGCGGAGGAAGAGAGACGCAGCCTCGACACAGCTGATTCCGGCCCGGGATGGGCGAGCTACTATCAGCCGCGGATGTCCCAGGCCTCTGGATCTCTAGTCCCGAACTCGAAAGCCGAACCCGAACGAAGTTGCACGAAGCGTGTGCGTTCGACTTGGACTGTCGATATGCCCTTCTTTACATGATTGCTTTAAGGCTGATAAGAAGTTTGCCAGCGGGTGCTGTTTTGTTAGGGTGTGACTGTTCTAATAGGGATTTATCAGTGAAACCTTTGCCACCAGTGATTGTCACGTAACAGCCTGTTATATTGTCCCATATATGTCTGTGGAGTTGAATAGAAAGCAAAAGCTCATCCCTAAGACATGTCAACAAACATCAATAGCATGCAGCATGGCGAAGACGCTTTTGGTTGTGTCTAAACCTCATAAGTTGCTCACCTAGCCAGCATTTTTGGCCACCCTGGGCGATATATTGCGTCACCAAAAATTATTGAGGTCGTGTACATATATTGCGCGATAAGTCGATATATTGATTATTGCGACAGGCCTACCCGTGATACACAAAATGCTGTCTTGGTTGGCAAGACACAAGGTTTTGAGAAACGGCTTTTGTTTTTGTTGTTGTTTATTAAGTGTAACGTTAGCAGTGCTTCAAACTGCAGTATGCAGGGCATGTTCGTGTAAAGCAGAAATTTTGTCAGGACTTTGTCTTCTGAACTTGTATGACTTTAATTGTTTTGCAAAACACAAAAAGAGACGTTTCAAACAATGCCATGGTTGGACTGTGCAATGGCAATGAATAGTGACTGAAAATGTCAAGCTAAACTCACAATAAAAGCATCATGAAATGGTCCACGTGGTTTGTGGTTCACATGGCAAGTCGCCTGAAGTTATACAATACGTTTTTTTTTGTGTAAAACAAGACCCAAATAGAATTTATTTTGCATCATTTGACGTGACATCTTAAGTCACAATCAATCATCAGTGCTTAAAACAAAAAAACAATGTTTTGCAAAATTTCCCCTTTTTTATGTTCCGCAGAAGAAAGAAGATCAAATGTTTTTGAAACAACGTGAGGTTATAAGTGATGACAGAATTTTTATTTTTGATAAAACACATTTTTCAAAAATGTTTTTGCAGAAAAAAAACTCATACAGGTTCGGAACGACATGGAGGTGAAGTAAAAATTTTTGGATGAGCTATTTATTACTTTTTTGCAACATATAATTTTCCCTTATAAGTATTTTGATATTTCGAGTGAATTTAGTGAGCTTTTAGTATCTGTAAAATCCTGTTCTTAGGTTTGTTATCATGAGGTTGGGTGTTTTGGTGAGTGGCCTAGATTCATCCCATATAATAGTCCCGGTGAGCATGCATAATTTACCAACCCTCATCTGAAAGAAAGCAAGATGCTGGAAACTCGCGTTAAACCTTTGAAACTTTTATTCAGAGAGCTGCCTCCATGCATGTCTTATTCCTTATTTATGAGGCACACAAAAAACCTGGCGAGTCCCTTTTTACAGTATCGGGGACTCAGGAGATGGATATGTATGTTAAATTGAATGTTTTGTGTAGTGGTCCACTTCAAGAGTTGTTTGGTGTGCAGAAAGGTCTTTGCTTTTTGCTACCCGTGAGGCACAGCTATTCGTATGTGGCCGTAGTCTGGCAGGATGTTGAAAGGCTGCATGCTCTGCAGAATGTCTTCCTTTCCTGTTTCTAGCCTGCTGCTGCATTTCAGCATCTGGTAAGCAGACCTTCAAGTACAGTAAAGGTGTGTGGGGGAGAAAAGAGCTCTCCTGAAGACTATTGAACTCAAAAATAACATTAAAATACATCAGCAACTGTTCATGTTGTGGCATGCAATGCAACATAGCAACTAAATTAATCTGAATAGACTTCTTTGAGCTGTTTCATGGGCAGACCTGTGACATCATACTCTTGTGATGTTGTGGAAGTGGTTGACATCACATTCATTATAAGTCATACTGTATCTCTGAAGACTTGGCAGTTGAAAGTGTTGCTACACGTGGCTCCCTCGACACTTGACATCTGTACATCTCACAAGTTAAGATTTTAAGATGCTATTTGTCTAGCAGTTAGCAAACATGCTCTGATATGCTAAGCCTTGGTGCTTATAAGGGAAATTTGAGTTTGAATTTGGCTTGCAACATCTCCGGATTGTGTTTCTTCTTTTTCTGAGAATTTGCTGTCTGATATTTGTTTTACTCGCATAAAAAGTGGCAAAAGTAAGCTTAAATGGATGGTTCACTCAAGAATCAATCCAGACATCTATGACTTTCCTTGTTCTGTGGAACGCAAATAAGATAAAAAATAAAAAGTATTTTTGTCCTAAGTTAGGGTCTGTCACAGCATACAATGTTCAACTGATGACATGTCTTTATGAAAAAACCTTCAGTAGACAAAAACTTCATGAAAGAGTTGTGAAAATGACATGATCTAGAACCTTTATACAGTGTGTTAAGGCTGTAAGTCTGTCCCTCACAGGCTCATTTTCATCCAAGATAAATTTTATATGGCATTTATCCTGAGTGACTAAAGTCTATTAAAGTCAATGGGGTCCAAAGCAACCCCTTTGGAACCCATTGACTTTCATAGTATTCAGATTATTTTGAAACAACATGAGGTTGTAAATGATGACAGAACCTGTATTATTGATAAAAACACTTTTTAAAAAATATCTTTTTTGGATTCCACAGAAAAAAAAAAGGTTTGGATTAACCCTAATTTAGCAGCAAAAACAATATCTTGAAAAAAAATCTTTGGTGCATACAATTTAAGCATGTTTATTCTGTTAACTATTTGAATGAATTAATGAATGATGCATTTATATGCATCATTCATTCATTCATTCATTTGTATTCTTACAAAATACATTCATGAAAATAAGAGAAATCATGAGAAAAAGAAAGGCTTCTAATAATCTTCTGTGTGCAAAACTTTGATAATGTAAAACGCTTCAAACAAACCGGCACAAAGCTTTTATGCACATCTAGGGTGCAGAATGATGCACTTGAAGCAACATAAGTCACAGCGTGCTGCACTCCACACGGTACAAACAAAGAGAAGTATTTACAAGATGTAATTTTATTCGAATCCCCAGACCTTTATCTACACCAAGTTTTATAATGGAAATACATAATCTTGGAGAGTTTTACCGTGCTGACTCTCATAACTGAACGTGACGTGCTGTTTGAATGCTGAGCGGAGACTAACTGACATCTGCAGCAGAAGGAAGATCAATTTCTGTAAACTTAATTTTAACAATGTAAATACAATTGAACACATTAAGATATGGAATGGCTTCAGATGATATAGGCTATAAAGTGCATGAAAAGCAAACTCTTCTGCTCTTCTGTTTCTTTTGGTGTATGACTCCCCCTTGTGCCATATAAAAAGCACAATAATCGCGGTTGCCTGAAACAACCGCGGTTAGATCAAATAATCGTGATTAGACGGTTATTTAATTATCGCGACAGGCCTAACCCTGTTGACTTTCATTGTGTGGACAAAAAAGTAGACACCTTTCAAAATAGAATAGAAAGTCATTTTTGGGTGAACTGTCCCTTTAAGTCATGTTATGTTTATCTCTATCTGACGCATGTATCTCACTGGTATTATCTCTGAAACCATGTCGTGAATGTGAACCTGGACATGTTCCAAAGGATTTTTATAAAGTGCTCTTGAAGTAGTACCTACTTAACACCCAGAGGGCTGGAGCTCTTAAATGAGATAACCTCACTCAGTTTTGTTTACCATCTAAATGGTATCTAAATGGGGACATTACATAGACTTCTATTGTTTTTATATACAGATAGTTATACACTTTTTAACCTAAACCCACCCCTAACCCTTAACTATTTGTATTCTTACAAAATACATTCATGAAAATAAGAGAAATCATGAGAAAAAGAAAGGCTTCTAATAATCTTTCTGTGTGCAAAATTTTGATATTGTGAAACGCTTCAAACAGAGCAGCACAAAGCTTTTATCCAGGGTGCAGAATGATGCACTTGAAGCAACATGGAGTCGCAGTGCTTATGCACATCTAGGGTGCAGAATGATGTGCTTGAAGCAACATAAGTCACAGCGTGCTGCACTCCACACGGTACAAACAAAGAGAAGTATTTACAAGATGTAATTTTATTCGAATCCCCAGACCTTTATCTACACCAAGTTTTATAATGGAAATACATAATCTTGGAGAGTTTTACCGTGCTGACTCTCATAACTGAACGTGACGTGCTGTTTGAATGCTGAGCGGAGACTAACTGACATCTGCAGCAGAAGGAAGATCAATTTCTGTAAACTTAATTTTAACAATGTAAATACAATTGAACACATTAAGATATGGAATGGCTTCAGATGATATAGGCTATAAAGTGCATGAAAAGCAAACTCTTCTGCTCTTCTGTTTCTTTTGGTGTATGACTCCCCCTTGTGCCATATAAAAAGCACAATAATCGCGGTTGCCTGAAACAACCGCGGTTAGATCAAATAATCGTGATTAGACGGTTATTTAATTATCGCGACAGGCCTAACCCTGTTGACTTTCATTGTGTGGACAAAAAAGTAGACACCTTTCAAAATAGAATAGAAAGTCATTTTTGGGTGAACTGTCCCTTTAAGTCATGTTATGTTTATCTCTATCTGACGCATGTATCTCACTGGTATTATCTCTGAAACCATGTCGTGAATGTGAACCTGGACATGTTCCAAAGGATTTTTATAAAGTGCTCTTGAAGTAGTACCTACTTAACACCCAGAGGGCTGGAGCTCTTAAATGAGATAACCTCACTCAGTTTTGTTTACCATCTAAATGGTATCTAAATGGGGACATTACATAGACTTCTATTGTTTTTATA